AGTTGTTAATAATTTGAATTGAAAGGCCGATATAGTTTGAGTTAATTGACTTTGTTTAGAGTCTATTTGAGTCGCTTCGAATCTAAAGCTGAGAGTTTGCTGTAAGTATGGCATTTGAATCTAAAGCCGAGGCGTATTTCAGAAACTTTGAATCTAAGGCTGGTCCGAAAACATAGACTTTCGCATGAAATTCGCCGTATTATTATAAATAAATTGCTTTGAGACGAAATACAAACTAATATCTACAATCATTCGTCATTATTCTTTTTAAAAATGGCCTTTGACTTCCATATCAATTTCAAATATCGGGTAATCCATATGCAGATTACCGACAACGAAAAAATGTAGACTAAAAGCGCTGGAAATTAGAACGATTTCACATAACCGGATAAAAAATGCTAATGAGGATCAATTTATGCTAATACACATTGCACGATTTTACATGATTTTACATCCCAGTCATTCCCCTTGCACTTTTGGTAGCATTTCTAGGATAAACATGCGCTCAAGCTCGCTGACGTTAACTCTCTTTAGATTTTTAAAAAATGAATAAAACCACAACATAAGCAGACAAAATTGCACAAATAAAACATTTGTTTGCTTTTACAAACATTCCAACATGCACACCAAGGAAAAACACTTCGTAAGGCGAAAAAAATCAAAACATTTTTGTGTCTAGTTTTTGCAAACAAGGACAACAATTTGATACAAGCTTTTCTCATCGTGTAATGTGTATTAGCATAAATTGATCCTCATTAGCATTTTTTATCCGGTTATGTGAAATCGTTCTATTGAGAGCAATGTTGTTGTTTTTCCGCTATCAGGGAWTGATCCGTGACTTTACCYGCAAAATAGAGCATAGATTTTTCTAGGCTTTCAGCCAATCGGAGCGCGCGTACTATCTTAGCGATATTATAATACCCAATAGATCATGGTTGAGCAGCCAATGAGAGCGCGCGATTTGTGATATACCATAAATTGTTGGATACTAATATATATCATACATGCGTGCATAGATACAAATAAATAGTCTCCGGTCTGCTTGTGTTAGCCGCCGTTATGGCGGTACGGAACCWTAATTGCATATTCTAAGAAAAACTAGAACCTGTATGCAGGGTTGACACGTGCATTTTGTTGTACATGATGTTGTATCAGGCATGCTCGGAAATAACGGCCGGTCACAAAGGACAATGTCTTTCCAAATTCGCTAGATGACAAATCAACCTGGCGCCACATAAATCAATCATCAATTCGCTAAATAAATCTTTTATAAGCCATTAAAATGCCTGCCGATCTTTCTGAATACAAAAACCTATAAATTAGAAGAAAATAATAGTATAATTAAGCTTTTGTCCTTTTTCCTTTCAAAACTTGACATTCCAAAAATGAATTTGGAAGGACATATTGTCCTGCATATGTCTGGCCGTTATTTCGAGCCCTGTTGTATTAAAATCATTAGTAAATGAGGCCTGAAGCC